TAACAACTCTTGTACGAGGAAGTCATTGTGGTCCTTAAGCCCTCGCTCATTCGTAGATGCTGAAGTAATTAACGGAACTCCAAAATTTTGTTTTGTTTGTCCACTATCAATGCTTTCTACATAGAATTATTTTATAACAACTCGATAGTATCATGAAGTGTTTTTTGTCCATGTTATATTAGGTTATAACAACGATGGCCTGCCACTTGACTCTAGAAGAGTTGTGGACAAATTCTAAGGACGGAACAGGAGTGTGCTATCTGCCTGCTGAACTACAGGTTGTGGTCCGATTATACTTAATGACAATTTCCTCTCACCAAAAAAATTACAACACATGTTTTTTTAACGCGAATCATATTGTGTTGACAACATTTCAATTGTGCAACTACCACATGGGCAGGAACTAGTGATTTCATGTGGAATAACACCCAAGATGGCATTAGACCTATACGAATCAAAATTCCTTAGTCGAACCAATATGGTGAATAAGGTAAACTGTTCGTCTTAATAAGTATTACATGGTTTGTAGTTTATTTTTTTAATACGTGTTGACAATTTCCGCATACGTAGGTGTGTGTTCCGATGAGAGATAATGCCCATTGGTACTTGGCTGTCATTAAGTTGGACAAGGAAGAAGTCCATATCTTGGATCCACAACCAAATGAAGACCGCAATTCCTTTCGACTACAATCTGTTCAAACAATGGTAAATTTGTGACATTGTGTCATTATAACGCAAAAAAAATGTAAATACCTCTTTCTAAGTACAAACGTTTCTTAATTTGTACAGATGAGATTTATGCAAGCCTTATGGAAGATTCTCTATCGTGAACAAGGTCCGGGATTGTCGCCACCAAGGATTGCGGAGTTTTCGTACCCAAATCCTTCAAAGGATCAAGAACAACTTCATCGGTAAGTATGCCCATTTTTTGTGATATTAAACAAAAACTTACCAACTTGGTTCTTATCACGCAATGCTTTTATTTTATGTAGGTCTGACAGTGGAGTCTGGGTATGCATGTGGATGTATGGCGCAAGCTGGGACTCCTCTTATATTTGGGTAAAGACAATTCTAATTCGCATATTAGAAAACCACAATTGATTGTTATTTTTGAATCATGCGTTAAGCACCATGTTTGTTGATGTTGATAGCCATGCACTCAAGTGAGGAGGATGCAGAACGCTTTGTACCTTGTTCGAGAGCCCATGAACTACATAAGACATATGGTGCTCACGGAAACAAGAAGAGTTGCACCTCAAGTTGAAGCTGCAGTGGAAGAGTACAAGAAAACCCATGAAAGGAGGAAAAAGGAAAGAGAAGAGCACAAGGAAACCCAGTCAACGAGCCCAAGGACAACCTGATTTTGCGTTTTAGTTTTCAAGATGATGGACAACTGTTATGTTTTTTTTTTTCTCAGGATGATGGACAACCGTTTTTTATTTGGTTCGGTGAATGCTTTTTATTTTTGGTTTTTATATTTGGTTTTTGGTTTGGTTAATGCTTTTATATTTGGTTTGGTTTGGTGAATGCTTTTTATATTTGGTTTTTGGTTTGTTTTTTGCTTTGGTGAATGCTTTCTATATTTGGTTTTTGGTATTGTGAATGCTTTCTATATTTGGTTTGGTTTGGTTAATTGGTTTGGTTTGGTTTGTTTTTTCGTGGAAATGGCAAAGGGACTTCACCGAAATTCCAGCTTCCAACTTGTGAGTGAGGTTGCTTCTGTTCAAGGCTTCAAGCCATTGTATCCTGTAGAGAGGTTTAATTGGGATCATGTATAGTTAAACTGATTGGCTCCCAATCGTATAATTAAATTTGCATTCATGTATAGGTAACCCAAAAGGTAAAACTGATTGGCTCCCAATCAGTATAATTAATGACCAAACCCCGTACAAGGCAGATAGAAAATTCTTATGTAATTAATTTAATGTTCCTAGGATATGGAAAGGCTTCCATTCCTTGAATTTCCACCAACGATGTTTTCACTCTCCTTTTAGTCAGAGAATTCATTGTAGTAATAAATACAATAAAAAGGCATACATAATTAATGGATTCTTTATTGTGTATAATTAAAAGGATATTTTACTATAAACGAAGCATGATAGATTCACAGGGGGATAAAAGAAGCATGAGTCTTGATGAAAAAGGGGAAAAAATCACCATAGATAAAAAATCATTATAATCAAGCCACATCCATACTATTCACGCCTATCATCGTCACTATACTTGTGACCAAATATAAATAAAACCATAATTTTCGAAAACCATTAAAAAATGAAGATTAAATAAGTAACACATTCTTCGACCTAATTGGAACTGCTTAGAACAAAAGCGGATTAAAATCTCCCCCAATGAAATTCATTTGCAATTTCATAGGTAGTCCCTACTTCCACTTCTATAATTTTGAGAAAACATTGCAATTTCATCAATAGTCCCCACTCGTGGGCCAATTTCAATTGCAAGCAAATTTGCACCCTTGCAATAGCTTCTCACATCATAGCAAGTGTAGGATGCAATTGCACCTCCTTGCTTATGGATGACCATTACTGCATCTCGTCACCTGTCTTAGGGAAATTAGCCATGGCAATTTCACAAAATACTGCATGCATAGAAAAATATTTGTCTGGATAATTTAAAAAATGGGAGACTTTCCTAGTCAGATGATGTACTGGCTCCCCTCAGTACCTGACAGTTTTGAGTGCTGGAGAAAAAGACTGAAAAAAAAAACCAACAAAGCCTTAGTAAACTTCTTAACAAAAGACATCCATTGCTGGCCCCTTTGCTGCTCCAACGCTCCACCCCGCCCTGCATCAATCGACTCTCATGTAAGCCGAGGACGTTTGCTTGAGGATGCCTCAGGGGTCTCTTCATGCTCCGTATGCCGAAGGTCAATAAAAGTATTGGTCAATTCAGCGATACGGTAGACTGGCAAATAGGCGCACTGGTCCTCCTTAGCATAAACCCCCATATCCATCCCAACCCTTTCAAGAAAGGTGGTCAAGAAGGTGGCATATGGAAAGGCAGTGTACCAGTTTTCCCCTCTAGGAGCAGCCTCAACCATGTTTAGGCACATGAGAGATGCGAAGTTAACAGGAACACCTCCTTGAGCTTGCACAAGGATAAACAGGTCAAGTTTACGAATAATCGAATGACCACGGTACCTTGGCATGAAGCAGTTGACGATCATCCAGTGGAGGAATCGAAGAGGATCTGGGAGGAAAGAAGCCTGGATGCGCCCCTTTGTCAGTTTCGCCAGTTCAAATTCAAACTCAAAATCGTACAGCCGCCCAAGATCGCTTCTGCCATCAATGGGGTGTCCTGCGGCGGGGAGATCGAGGATCTCAGCAAACTGATGAGGCTGGAAGCAGACTCTATTTCCCAGGAAGATCGACACGAGATGAGAATCGCAGGGACCAGACAGCTCTAAATTGTGGTAGAACTTCCTCACCACATGCGGTTAGTAACTGGTGCTTCCTCGACTCCGGAGATCAAAGAACTTTTCCCAGCCAAGATTTTTAATTAACTTCTTCACTTCTTGAGGGAAAGGACTCAGGTGGATGAACTCGTACTCGGCCATAATTGATGTCTTGATTGTGAATGAAAGATAGTCACCGAGACTTGCGGTGGATCGGCAGTCTTCGTTTGATAGAGATAGTATCCCCATTTCCGCAAACGATTTACCTTTGTTTTCCAGGGAGTCTGGAGGAAGAAGGAACAAGGGAAGGTGAAGATGGAGGAAAGAGAGAATGTAGGTGTAAGCAAAAATGATCGTGGGGGTTGAGTGTGGAGACATGAGTGTGATGGAGACGGTTGAGTCTGGAATGTCAAGAGTTAGAAGATTTCGGAAGATATGTAGTAATGATGATGTTAACTCGTGTAGGTTAAACTAGGGTAAGTAAAGCTAGTTAAACTAGGGTTGGCGCACGAATTGATACGGCAGGAGAAAACAAATGGGCTCGCACGTTCCAGGCCCACTTTTGAATATTGCATGGGTCATGTACAAGCCCACGTTTGAATGTTATTTAAAAGCCTGCAAAAATCAATGATCAGACCCAATCCAACTAGAATTACTCCTAAACGCACCGTTAATACATAAACACAAACTAAGGAGACCTCTCCATCCGATTCGAATCAAATTATGTGTTCTTCATCTTCTTCCTCAATCCTCTGGGCGAGACGAACACTACATATCAGGAAACCTAAATTTCACCGAGAGATATAAGGTTCGAGAAAATCACAATAACGCTAAGACAAGATGACAAAGCACTAGCGACATGAACCCTAGGGTTAGCAAACCTCTTTCAAGGGTTCTTTTGCAAATGAAAAGTTTGATGAACACAATAATAGACATGGTCGCCGTAATCGTGTGAGAAAGAGATAGGCGAGGGGAAATAAAATGGCAAAGAAGAAACAAGACAAAATAAATTGGGAAATTCAATCTACGTCGAATGTGGATGCAAGTAATTGGGATTCAAAAAGATGATTAAGTTGGGGAGTTCAAATTGGATGGGGAGCGTCTCGTGGAACTGTGAAGGGGTGTCCCTCCAAGACGAGAGAGGGATCGTGTAATTGGTTAGGGAGACTGGAAATTGGTTAGGGCGGCAGTGGGTCTACCCAATTGGGTTTGCAGTCTTAATCCATTTAATTTAATCGGACCAGTTAGTTGGACTAGGATGAAAAAAAACTTAACGCGGCAGGAGCCTTTTTGTAATTTGTTTAGTTATTTAGTGGCGCAGGAAGGTTTAACAAACGTGAGCCGTGGAGATTGAAAACGAATGGTTAAGATCGGCCAAGGTACCCGTACCCGGATTTTGCCCTAGGCACCGTAGAAGTCACCATATATATATATATATTGATTTGGCTGCAAGAGGAATCAAAATGAGAGGAGTGTGGTCAAATGATTAGTGTGCATTTAATACAAATGTGTGGGGACCACCACCTATTTGTTTCAATGTGCAAAAGATTAGCTCCCTTGGAGAGAAACCACTTCCAAAATCACAGTCATCTTACTTGAAAATTTGTTGTGTCCTTATTTGTTTGTATATCTTGGCCCATTGAAAAAATGTCACACGCGGGCATCTATGTATAGTAACAAATGTAGTTCTTTGCAGACAAAGAGGTCCCAAAATAAAATTGCTAAAATATTGAGGGTCATCTGAGAACTAACATCCAAATTACGATGTCACTACCAAGAGTAATCTCCAAGTTATAATATTTTAGAGCCAAAAGCTAAATTGAAGGAAGAATTTACATTCATACCAAGCCTGCCAGCAACCCGCAATGACACAACGTGGACAAAATTCTATCTAAACACAATAACGATCTGAAGCCTAACTGCGAGGAGTCTTGCCAAGTTCTAACAAACTCCTTGAAAACCCGGCGGCCAAGTTTTGATACCATTCATGGGCACACAACTGGGATTAAACGAAATACCTAATAAGTTCACTACATAATCTAAGACAACACTGCAAATAGAGTTCTTTACAAATCAACTCCTTGCCTACTACGAAGTGACCACTGAAAAAGCCACCCAACCAAGCTCCATCAGTGGCACCTCTTGTGGCACAAAAGAGTCACCTTCCTTGACTACAAAGGGAGGAAAATCACAACAAAGAAATAATCAACACATGTCCAATCCCAAAGACATGGAGCAAATAGAGTTATAGATACAGTAGCAAACAATGAAACAACTTCTACAACAACACTCAATGAGCATTCAAAAGCAGAAGGGGAGAGGCAAGGCTCACCACGTGTTTCACTTCTGGAATAGACTGCACTTGGCAGCAGGGTCTTCATGATGATCAAGGGCATCAGTATCGGTCCCAATAAGAAAAGAAACCTGAGCTTCAGTGTTCGGCTGACTTGTACCCCGGCTGCGTCCAACTTTTTGACCTTCACCTTTGCCAATGGAGAGACCAACCTACACAAATGAATAAGAAGGCAAAATGTAAGCAAAAGCATGTGCTAAATGCAGACCCAAACATACATACGATGGCTACTTACAATAATGGTGAAAGAGCTGCAGTACTTGGTGCAACAACGTTTCCGGGAGAGCTCTCAGCTGTTGGTTTCAGAACTTTTGCACTATGAACATGAGCCTCAAGGTCATGACCTGATAAGGAAGTGGGAGTCTTGGAACTCTGCTCAAAAGTCTGCCCACCAAGTGCAGGAGCTGCAAGCTTGCCCGTCCCCAATGTCGCACCCTCTTTGATTTGCAATGTTTTTGTAGGACTCACTGAGTCAACAACACTTTCCACGGCATGCACAACCAAGTCACCATCGACTGTCCCCTCAGGTAAAGCACCACTAACCATCACGCAACCATGCAACACATGAAGCACAGTCTGGCCAGCAGCAGAAAGGGGAACACTGAAAGACAAACCACCAGGAACTTCCTTGGAAAATAAGCAAACACCAAGCAATGCACACATAGTTAAACAACACATGCTTGCAATGAAAAAAGTGGAAACAACCGAGAGGGCACAACGGAGTATATGACCTTACTGCACGATCAACTTGGGTGCCAATGCAGAACTGTGGCTTCAAAGGATCAAGCAAGGAGGGCTCTCCCATTTTCTGCTTTCCCTTTGCAGCACTGGAAAGCCTGGAAATTAGAACAACAACACACTGGTAAATAAAAGATCTGGCAACAGTGTTCGAAATGGCATGACATAAAAACATACCTCGATGAGGTCGAGACCATCAGCAATGATTGCATCATTTGCCACCGGAATAACCTGAGTCACGCGGAACTCGCTAGAGAAAAATCCGGATGGGCCATGGAGTGGGAGGTTGCATTCGAATTTAACGTACTGGCCACGGAGCTGATGAAGCTGAGGTGGCAGCTGGCTAGGTTGATATGAAAATCTTTGTGCGAAGTACGATGCTGAAGTGTTGACCAATGCATGACCACATCCGCCGAGTACAATAAAGCGAGCAGCAGCAGTGTTATCCCTGAAGGTCAGCTGGATCTTGAAGCTAAGCAAGTAAAGAAACAATCAAATAATAGAGAAACAACAAAAACAAATACAACCACAATTGAAATCAGCAAGTGCAATGCACAACCAGAATTTGGTTTGATCCTCCTGAAGTTACCAATCCGTAGGACATCAGTACGTGTTATCCCGACGCCTAGAAGTAGCTTTGTTGCACAGCCTGCAAGCGTTATAATACCAAGGCTCATGAGTCTCGATGTCTTCAAAGCAGGAGACCAAAACGAATACACTGAATCATAAAGTAGGGGGACAAAGTTTGTTTTGCAAATCCTAAGAAACGAACAATATCTTCCAGCGAAGCATTTGTATGAGATAGGTCAATAAGCTGAGCTAGTGTCCGCGTGCACCGCTGTGCATCAGCTGCAGCAGCCGAAGCTGTCGCAAACTCAATAGCCAGCGTACCAACAACCTCATGGCGATCAACAAACCTATGTAAATACAGAAAGCACACGTGAACACAAACTCTTAAGGAATTGCGGGAAAACCTTGACAAAGAGCAAAACAAACTAACCTAGATGCCAGTTGATATGCTTGCGGAACCGGTGGATTGACACTCACACATGTGGCAGCAAAGCTCGACAGAACAAAGGTGGCTGGAGAAAAGGAAGGGAAATCAAAAAATCACAGAAGGCAGGAAAAAATGTTCCAACTGGCAAAGCAGAGCTGGACGAACACACCTCCCAACATGTTAACCAAAAGGCCCCCGAAAGCAAGAATGAGGGGTTATAGTGAATCAGCTTGAGTCAGAGCAACACTATCCAGGATCCCTGAGAACTCATCCCACAGAGTTATGGTGGCCTTGTGACAACTGCAGGAGAGTGGCACACAAATAAAAGAACACATAATCATAAAGAAACTATCAACAACCCGACACAGTAAAAAGAGAAAACATTGATGATCAGTGAACAACCAACCTATCATCCTCAATGACGACCGTCTGCCTAACATACGTACCATTGTTAGTGATTTTGTGCGACACCCCACTTATAGAGTGGATTCGACCTATGACATCTAAAACAAACAAAAAGAGTACATAATCAAGAACGGTTGCAAACAACAGAGAAGAAACATGGCAAAAAAGGTGAAAAACCGTGAAGGATATAGCAGTGCTCACCTGTCAACAGACGATGGTCACCAGTGCGTGTAAACAGCTGAGCAAGTGGGAGGAATTCGTAGGCGTCTACAGGAAAGTTTTCAGCAGGGAGCGAGCACTCCTGGAAGGAAGTGACAAGACTAATTGAAAGAGACAGATCAAAATCACAAGCTCGATACAAATTTGGTGGGCTGTTGATCCCGAAAGATCGGAGGACATATATCTTTCCGACATGCAAGGCATCGCGAATCTCGGAGGCCATCGAAGCATGCGAAAGACCGTGAATCAACACACCCTGTAAATTGATGAACGGAAAACTCATAAGTAACGCAAGCAGGAAGAGATAAAGAATGGGGAGATAAAGAACGGGGAACACACGATTTCATCAACCCAGAGACTACAGTAGTTGTATATTCGAATGTCCCCCAGAGATTTTGCAGCCCACAGGTGGAGGGTACGCAAACGGAGGATAACAACTGGTTTCCGCGGGCCGCCGAGATTGCAGGGAAGAGTATGTTCCATTGCGGCGAGGTGAGAAGTGATTCAGGTGATTTCGGAGGCACCACTGACAGAGGATGGCCCAGGGTAAGAAACCACCGAACTGTTTTGGGGAGGATATTTGGAGAGGATTTCTCAGCTTTCTCCGCAAGAAAACCGAGAGGAAGTGCAGAAGTGAGGCGGCAAGGTGGAGAGACGTGGTGTTGTCACCGAGCTAGTGGCAACAGTCCCATCAGATTGCAGGGCAGGTACATAGGGAAACGGTCATCCCAAAGTAGAGAGCAAGAGAGGGAAGCGAGAAAAGGAGTGCCCATCATTACGCAGAAGACCCAAAGCCGTCCATTATCTGGAGCATCGTAAGGCGTGGAATCCCGACGAGAGATGAGAGGAGATCGTACGGCACTCGAGTCTGGTGCGTCATCCAAGACAAAGGAAAGCAGAAATTAAATGGCGGCAGTTACACAATGGGGCCAGAGAGAGTAGGTCCAACCACAGTCAGCCAACCAATAGAAAGCCTATGAATAATAAAAAGTCTCTGAACAAACAGTAATATTAGTCTATGTGAACAGGGATTGAAGGTTTGTGCAAATTACTCTTCTTAAAGTATGTGGACCAAGTCTAAATAGTGGAAACTCCACCATGAGAATTCAAGACTTCATCAACAACAGAGACTTTACCTTCTTAAAAAATAGTTGGAGCCGCTTTATCTTCAATCCAAAAATTAAGTAATATAATGGAAAGGACGAAGCATGTTATTGGTCAATTTGTGACCACATCTATTAAGGGGTTTGAGTTATTGGATAAGTTTGTTGCTAACACCAATCAACGTTTTCAAGAACTCGAGGAAATTAACAAATTCAACAAGCACAATGCCCAAGTATGGATGTCGAAGTCGATGGATACATCTCCTAGACATACCAAGCTACTTCCACGAGAAGAGTCTCCTGGTGTCTCTCTTTGAAGTGGAAAGAAAGTTCAAATACCAAAGTAGAAGACTAAGAAGCAAGTCCCTCCTCAAAAAAGGTCGTCATTGAATTAGCTAAGGAATTTGAGGAGTTGAGGGAAGACCCTAAGTTCAAGGGTGAGAACTCATTTTCAATAAAGAAGACAATTTGGAGGAAGTACTAGAAATTAAAAAAAAATCACCGAGATTCTATCTAAAGTTCCTTATCCATATTGGCCTAAGAAAGGTGAATTCGATGAGCAACATGCCAAGTTCAGCAACATTGTGAGACATATGTCGCGATTCTTTATATGGTGACCAAGGTGACTATGTATACAAATTTTCTCAATGAACTTCTTGGAAAAGGAAATTCATAAAGGCATTAGTGGTTGAACTAAGTAAATAGTGCAAGATCTTCATCCGCAACAAGATTCCACTAAAGTGTAAGGATTGGGGTACTTTCTTTATTCCTTACTCCATTATGTACATGGGCGTTGGGCTGTGCTTGGGACGACACTGCACGGGCACGCTTCGGGCCCATTTATTTCGTGTCGTGCTTGGCACGACCAGTCAGTTTTCGTGTCATGCCATGCAAGCCCATTTGTCAACTTTGCTAGGCCTGGCCCAGGCCCGGCACGGTTCGAATCGTGCCTTGCCTATTCGTGCTCGTGCCATGCTCGTATTCGTGTTTAATAAAAAGGACGAAAACAAAAGAGAGAATGAAAAAGAAGGTGAAAATTGTTCGGGGGAAGATAGTATTAACCAATAATGTTTGAGAAAAGTAACAAATAGGGGGGGAAAGAAAATTGGAAGTTTAGCGAGTGTGATTTGACTTTGTTTAATTCTTTGTCCATTTTTACTTATGTTAGTAATTACGTATATATCTTTATGACACTTCTAACAACAACAAATAATTATTTTTCTACTTGTGTTTTGTAATATTTGAACCTATAATTCTTTTTATACTTATTTTCTATCAAATAAATATTATTTTCGTGCCATGTCCGTTCTTATACTCAATAAAGTCTCGAAAATATTACGCCCGACACGACCCATTTATATACCGTGCTCGTGCCCGTGCCCATGAAGTTTAGGCCCGGAACGGCCCATAAATTATTCGTGCTCGTGCCGGGCTGACCCATTTATTTCTTGCCCGTGCTCGTGTCGTGCTCTAACCGTGTCGTGCCATGCTAGCCCGTGGGCGGCACGGCCCGGTGCCCATGTACACTCCATTCACACCATGAATAAAGATAAAGGATTAGCCAACTTATGATCCAGCATAAATGTGATGTCCTTTCAGTTGTTCAAGCAACTTAATTATGGTGAACCTTGTCATAATACAATGCCTATTTAATAATCCGATCTTTACATAGTTCATCATGTGCTTGTATTTAAGGATCTCTTAGTAAGAGTGAGAAAGTTTGCCTTTTCGGTTGACTTTGCGATGTTAGATTTTGAAGAGAATGACAATACAACACTCGCTAGAAAGACGGTTTCGAGGACAAAGGCTCCAATGATCCTCCATCGGAGCAAGTGGCTCCACCTCTCAGTCCACAATACAAACGAAGATGTCGGACTACTTGGGATCAAGGAAAACAAGATGAGCCACAACCAAAATTACAACAGGAGTAACATCAAGTTCAATAACAACAACAAGGTGCTCGACAAGGAAAGTCGATAGTGCAAGTGACAAGGGCTTCATCACCCCTTCCTTGATGTCATCTCCATCCACCACGTGGGACTATATACTCGGATCCCCGACTTCCCAGTGGGTGAATGCTTCTCTTGGCCTATCTTTCACCAATTGGGAGTCGAGGAGACTATACGGGAGAGGATAGGGAAGGATGAGTTAATCATGCTATTAGATATTTAGGAGCCGGCCTACCGTGTCCTTTTGTTCATGTTCATGAGCACCATCGAAATAAAATATATTCGAGCCATTGCCAATAAATGTTCCAACATTTCAATTCAGCGGTGTGGAGCGAGCAATGACAATTGAGAGTTCCCAATGGGTATTAGACATCTATCCGTCAGGGTTCGTGGATTCTCCCTAATTTGACTCACTTCTACTCAAGCATCTCACTCTGACCATGGAGACTTTTATGCAAGAAACCTCAAGGAACAAGGAGCTCGAAGATGGAATGTGAAGGTTTCCATGGTAAGCAAGTTAAAGTCGGGGTGGAGGCTTATATACCACGTCATTGTGAGATTCGTGGGTGGAAGGTATGGTATGAAGGGAAATATTTCAGCCCGAGACGTGAGACTTATGTGGAGCATGATGGGTGAGTCAGATCTTCAACTTGGTGTCTCAGTCCTCGTCACATTGATGAAGAAAACCATCAACCATAGGATTAGTGCCTTGCATGATGGGCCTAAATCATGAGACTCACATGGTTCTTCAATGTCAACCTTGACAATTTGCCCCTCGATACCAAGACTCACTTCAGCGCTCTCAATACTTACTTGAAGACCCTCGAGAATAATAAGCTTGGAGTTTGGGGAGTCTGTGGTCATCCTTTTTCGGCCACCAACACTATTGTGATGAATGGCGAGGAGATCTCCCTCCTAGTTACACCACCAAGAAGAGCTTCACAAGTGGTCAACAAGAACCCAAGGATGAAGCATATGTTCCAAGCCATATTCTTCCATTCCTACCAAGTTATTTATCCACCACCTCAAGCATCAAACCCAATGGGTTTGATCGACATAGAGGTGAGAGCTCGCATAGGCGTCGTGGAAAGGATCTCCTACATCATCAAGAAGAATATTTAGTGGGAGGCCTAGATGAGGCACCACATGGTCTTGTGACCACACTATCACAATGAAGTTCCATTGGAGGACATCAAACCTCCATATGTGGACATTCCACCACATGAGCCATTCACGACTATGGAGCCCGAGCCTTCATTCGAGAAAGAGTCTGAAGGGTGATTTATTAGCAAGAAAGGGTGCGTTCTCTATCTTTTCTTTTATTTCTTTTTTATGCAAACTATAAACAATGTTGTTTTTCTTTTAATTGTGTACTTAGACTATGTTTGTAATAACTAGTACTTGTGTATGCTTGTGTGTGTGTGTGTGTGTGTGTGTGTGTGTGTGTGTATTAGAGTAACGCTACCTATCTCTTGTGAATGTTTGCTTGTGCCTCTTAGATTGACTTTGAAGACCTACTCATGACTCAAACCACCCACCCAACCCTCGCCAATGTTAAAATTCATGAACCTCTCTTAAACTCCACACATTCCAGAAAATGTGTATCTTAAGTGTGGGGGAGGGTTTTTAAGTTTCTACAACCCCAAAAGACACACAAAAAAGAATAAAGGTTGTTGGGAAAGTGAGAAAGAGCACTGTTAGAACAATTATTTCTCATGCCTACATCGAGAACCCAGGTTTGCGCCTTGCACCTACTTCCTTCACTTGAGAACATTTGTCCAAGATTTCGTCCAGAATGAAATGTGGTTGAGACATCTCTAGTGACACCTTTGAAAATTTACATTAAGTGAGGGGGTTTAGAGGCTTCGAATCGCTTGTTTTGATCACATATTTGTTTAGGCACAAGAAAACGCTTATGTGAGGGGAGTTTATCTGCCTTCTATTTCTAGGTGTTGTCATGAAATTTTGAGCGTAATTGAACCCTAAATTTCTGCACTTTAGTCTAGGAATATTTTGTATTTGACACAGACAGGTTTTAGGCATACATTGCAAGGGTTTAGGAGAGTTCAGAACGAAGTTAGGAAACAAGTGTATGGGAAGCTGATATTGGAGACCTCAGGACCAAAGATTAAGGGTGGGATATCCTCTCCATCAACATGGCCGGTCCATGTCCCCTGTATAATTGGCCAGTTTTGACGTCAAAAGAGGAGATCCAATTTTCAAATTCTGGGTTACTTTGGAAGAGGAGCTAGGAGAAGAAGGAGAGCTATCTTGGAGCTTTAAAGTTGAGTTTCCATAAAATTGGAGCTGCCAAGATGTAGATTTCCCCTTCATTTTCTAGTGTTATTCTTCTCCCTTTCATGGGGTGATTCTTTTGTACTCGAGTAAGTTGAACCCTTGCTCATGTAGGTGATACCGTGATAGAATATATATAGATAGAACGATCTTGTACGAACCCTGTTCAATATTTAATGTTTGATTATGCTCATCTCTTACTTTAATTAAATGATTGATTGCTTTGTTCTTTACATAAGTTGGTGACCATCTAATTAGGTCAAGACTAGAACTCATATCAAGTAGTATGGAATTTCAATTGCATGATCGTAAAATTGAAGTTTCATTTGCAATTGGGTTTGCGACAATTTAAGAATCTAGACCTGATGTTCTAGAGGTTAGTTGGTTGGTTGACAATTGAACCAAGTTGCTACATAGAAGTACATCTAAGTGCATGAACATTGACTTAGTTGTTAGTCTATGGTATTTTTGCATCATAACAAACTAGGGGGATTTCATACATATTTCATGACATTAGTCACTTACTATATCTAGGGGGGATATCAATCCCGAGTACCTCATTCCTCTTGAAGATTATACTTAAGTTCCAATTTAGTTCGCTTGTTGATTGGAAGAAATCTCTACCTAATTGGTCGGTTATATGGTAGAAAACTTTGAAGTAGCAATAGATTTGGTGGCCCATGGGAATATGAACTTGAAGGTTAACCTTATTCTACAACACTCAGTCGAGACATAATTGTCTTAAGTAAGTGTAGTAGCATAATCAGATCATTGAGTTATTTAAAACTAGGTATTTAGAGCGTGTTACTTGTAGTAAGATATTTGATATTTTCATGTTGTCAACCCATCGATTTTTATAGGACACCATATAGTATGTAGCATGGAGGATACGAGATAGAGAGCTAACTAATGATGATAGGAGGGAGCTCCTTGATATGTTGTACTCAGTATCTACTGCACTAGGATTGTACAATCATTTCCATCCGGATGTCTCAGCAGACATCCAACCGCTACCTTCGCCTTAGATTTGCATGATGGTTAGAGCTCACTGATTCGAGGTAATCTTGCTTACATGCCAGGGTCCCGAGGTGATCTTGCTTACATGCCAGGGTCATAGTTCACATAAGATAGCAGGATGCATAGGAATCTGTGATGAGCGCGACGTGCCTCACCCACTGAGGATTTCCCTCTTACATTCGCCACGACCAGATCGTCCTAGTACCAACATGTTGTCCCACCAGTAATAGTTTTGACCACCTCTCCCATCAAGCCTCATCACTAGTCGTTGTTAGGATATGACGAATTTGATTTGGGTTTGTTTTGTGTTTGGGCCTATTTTGTTTGGGTTTGTGTTTTGGGTTTGTTTTTACTTTTTCCTTGTATGTTTATAAAAGGTGTTTGGTTTTCTATTTGAGATTAGGAGAAGAGTTCTATCAATACTCTTCATCACCCTAGTATGTTGTTAGGTCAGTCAGGTTAGTTTGTTTGGTTTGTTTGTTCCGGAATTTGGTTCGTAACCTGTACTCTCCTCAAATTAGTGAAATTTGTTCTCCCCTGCCCGTGGATTAGCTAGCACACATTGTGTTAGTGAACCACGTTAAATTTGTGTTGATTTCGATTATCATTTGCACTCTTCTGTTATGACAGTCGTACCGAGTAGTGCCTCCTTTGAATTTTCACCCTAGACATGGTCCACATGTTTTAAGACAGTTCGTACCGACTTTAGGGGTCTTCACATCACATCAGAAATTGTCTTATACTACACGATCATAGCCATCCACTTGTTATGAAGTCGATTACTTCCAAACGCCGGGACATGCTACTATGGGAGGATACATGACCTCAACTTGTAATAGCCCACAAATTGATACAGACCTGTTGGACAGTAGTGGGTTGACTTCAAGTTGGTATGACCAGCAGGAGCATCAGAGTACGATGGAGTAGGTGTGGGCTTAGGGTAGGGTTTGTTTGCTAATACACATGACATAAGACAGTGCAGCGAGAAGAGCAACATATGACCAGTAGTACCTCCATGGGTGTCGTGTGCACCTCGATTTTGTAATGGCGGCCATCTAGAAAGGTATCATCTATAACCATGACTCATGGATAGTTCTTGAAAGGCAAGTCATGAATGGTTTGATCGTACTGGGCATCGAACAATACCGACCTTTGGAACAGATCATACCGAACCGAGTATAATACGATCCGATCCAACGAATTTTATAAAAATGAAGAAAAATGGATCAAATAGACATTTGGACCGAAGCGGAGTAAATGCAATGATGATCTGATCCTTGGTCCTAATATTTTTTAGGACTTTGCTAGGGTGACATGCATGTCACCGTAACTTGCACTTTTAGGTCGACCTCATATAGGATTAGGTCGACCTAATCTGCACTTAGCTCGACCTTATATAGGATTAGGTCGACCTAATATCCCGTTTCAGTTTTGTGAGGTTCAACGACGTGGTTGACCTTTTATAGCAAATGTTCGACCTCTTTGGGAAGCGAACAGAATGAAAGGTCGGCCCAAATACCTCATAAGCCGACCATTTGATCAACTGAGGTCGACCGCGTGCACACCGTATCCGTATTTGGTAAGGATTCCAACACTAGAAAGGTAACCCTAACTTATCTACCACTTAATTCGACCCCTTCTCGTCCTAAATATCTATAAATATGAATATATGTCACCTTCACCGCCACCGAAACTCTTAATTAGGTTTGTTTTACGGTTAGAGCTTTTGTGAAGAAGATCCTTTGCGGTTGTTGTTGTACGTGATGCAAGAGGTCGACCAGGTGAAAGTTATGAGTCCTTGTTATCATTATTTATGACTGATTCTGTTGGTTTGAAACGTAATTTGTATGAGCAAAAAAGACGCAGGGCATAGGTTGATTTTCTTGTATTCGTTCGACCTCGTACCAGATTAGGTCGACCGTGAAACCAACACTTGATCTTCATTTTATGTCAAATGATGATGGATAAATGTATACAACACTTCTCTTCTATCTGGTCGACCTTTTTCTGTAAATGGTCGACCATTTTGTTAATGACCGCCATCAAGTGGTCGGCCTATATACCTTTACGGTCGACCATTTTGCTTCTGACGTAAATGAAAAGGGCGACCGATGTTTTATTGTGGTCGACCAACAATGACAACTTAAACTACAAACGGTCGACCACTACATTTTAAAGGTCGACCGTGGTAAGTCATCAAGGTGCCCACATTAGTGTATTCGAGAACCTCTCAAAACTGAAACGGCATATTAGGTCGACCTAATCCTATATGAGGTCGACTTATTTCTATATGAGGTCGACCTAAAAGTGCAAGTTACACATGCATGTCACCATAGGCATATCCTATTTTTTATATTAGTTGCAAACCTATACAAGTGTTATAAACTTATAATCACTAAAATTACAATATACTATTATTAATAAAATGTTATTATAATTTTAAATTGAAAATAATTGATGTCACCTCAATATCATATGAAATTGACCATTTCAAATAATTTTAAAAAATTAAAATAAACTTTTGATATGATGTATCTAAATGACATTTCAATCAACTTATCAAGCACCAAACTTATTACATGAAAGAACATGTAACTTATCTGCAAATAGAGCCAAAACTGTTATACAGTTGCGCCTGGGCATGGTGCGGCATTCCTTCTCCAGTTCGTCATAAAATAGAATATATGGCTAATACCTTCGTGTAGAGAGCACATTTTGAAACTCGACTCATGTTTTTATTTTTATTTTTAACAGAATGAGATTGAAACACTCAAATTTGTTGATAGATAGAGTAATAGAGATAGGACTCCCTTTAATCATTCAAAAAAAGGTTCAAAAAGAGAGGGGGGGGGGGGGGGGGGGGGGGGGGGGGGGGCTCTATAGTGGTAACATCGTACTTCTTTCATACTAACATATTCATTTTAGCTCTACTCTCACATGTTTTGCTTTAGGGTGTATATTATAGTGAAGTCTTTCATTTTTGGACTACTTCATATTGAACACAATTAACTAACATCAGAATTCTTACTAGTAATTATTCATTTCATGACAAAACACGTCTTTTTAGTTAAAGTTTGATGTTCTTTACCAATCATAAATATCTCCCCCGCATATGTAATTTAGTTAACTATATGGCTCATTATTAAAAAAAAACAAAGAGATTTTTGTAACCTCTATTTTTCATTTCTAATCTGAATTAAAATAATTTTCAGTCACTTTATCTATTTAAGTTGAGAAATACACAATTCCTTTTTTTTCCCTCGACTGCAAAATACTAAATACACTTGCTGTCTAAATGAGGCCATCAAAATTGCAACGGGAATTACCCCAAAGACAACAATAATCATACATGAAAAGCTCACACAGATTTCCGCTTCTTGTGGTTATGATTGCCATCAGTGCTTCGGCCTCCTCTTTTCATACCGCCTTTTCGAGCTCCCTTCCTTCCTCCCTAACCAATTCAGTTTTCAGACAACCCCATTTAGACAACTTTCTCACAAAAGCCTCCCTAAACAAAATCTAAATCACAGGTAACAAGAAAAACAATCTCACCTCTGCGGAGAATGACTTGAGAGGGTCTCCCCCTCCTTTTTTCAGCTTTCTTTTGAACCCCTGACCCTGACGTCGAGAAGGATTATTCCCCATCGCGGCTCTAGCAAGCTTCACCATCTTACTGGCTTCCTTCGTGGTGGCATCGATCAAGTAATCAGGCACCTTGCGCAGATGAGGAGCAGGTGGCTTCTGGCTCAAAATCCTGTCGTGTTTTAGTAAATCTGTTGAAGATATCACAGACATCAGCGCCTCTGAAATCTGGATGAAAAAAAAAAGCATTGAAAACAGCAATCTACTTTTGCATTACCTAAGTCCCTTGGATTAGCTTCAAAATGAGACTTCAACCTACAGCAGAGACGTCCATCAGCAACTCATAAGAACCTCAGATGCCAAACTATGTGGAAAGAATACAGGGATACCTTATGCCATACTGACGAATTAAAAGAGACAAAACTAATGCTTACTTTTCTGAGTTTAGAATTTCATTCCTCAGATCCTGTGCCCGAGCTTCTCGGACAGCAACTCTTGTAACACTCTTCGCTGTGTCCTGCAACATACATTTCCATGCTGTCAGCTGTATTTGGGGGAATCAAATTACTGTCCTTGCTTCTTGAGCAAAATCTTTTGTTGGTTCTTTTGGAAAGATAGAGGGGCCAAGTCTTGATTACAGACGGGGAATTATGACTGGTGCCAGAAAGATAACGATTTTGAAAATCAGAAATGGCACGCTTTCAGATTTGGGGGAATCAAACAATTAATTTACCAAGAGCATCAAGGACAATCGTTTACCTCAGCCCTATACCGTAATGACTCAACAGCGCTCTTAGTCAGCAAAGGGAATGGAGAGATGACATCCGAATTCTGATCTTCCTCATTGCCCAACAAAGATTTTACTTCTTCAAGAATGTCCATCTCATTTGGAGAAACCTGTAAGCATCCACATATCAATTAAATCAGAAAGAATCTCTGTCGGAACAAAATTATAAGGCAACATTTGGTTCTCAGTATGTAATATTGTGAACAGTCCGAGATGCGAAGAGCAGGTTAATGATCCAGAGGCACAACAACAACATCACACAGTAGCAAGAGTTGTATTGACATCAAAACCATGCCAACTTGATAAAACTGTGCTGCCATACTTGATAAAACTGTGGTGCAATGGCAGCCTTACTAGCATTGGTGTAGCATTGATCAGCATTGGTGTAGCAATGATCAGTATTGGTGAAACTGTACCGTACCGGCTGGTTGTGCCAGTTCAACCACATAGGTAGTGACTTAGGGTGTTAACTCTTTATTTTAATTTACTTTTTTGTTTGTTTACGGACTTTGTAAATTATTACTTCTTTAGGAAGTCAAACAACTTTATCTTATGGGAACTCACGAGAGAAACAGAAACACCAGTGTTGTATGCTCTTCCAGTCCGTCCAATTCGATGGACATATCCAACAGCAGAACCAGGCATATCATAATTTACGACCTGCAATGGCCAAATCTTAAGACATTATAAAGAAAAACAGAGAGAAAATGTATGATAGCAAAAGCATGAACCAAAAGTTATCAAGTATTAGGTAAATTAACCACAAAAGTGAAAATCATTCAATAGACTTTCATAACTACAATCCAATCAACCACCATTTTCCATGACAATCCAAATCCTTCAAGATAATAAGGAAAGGGCTCCATAACAAAAGAAGGCATTCCACAGACATAACACCCGCAAAATCCAGAGAAAACAGATGAAAGAGTTCCCATCACATATTTCCCAAGCTTTTTTAAAACTAGCTGATAAAAGCTCAAACTGAATATATTATGCTCCCAACAAAACAACAAAAAAGAACAAGATCTTGATTCAAACTGAATAAACAAGTTCATATGCGCCAACATTTTGATTTTTATTTATAAAAAACATTGATCTTCTATATTAAATTAAATCAACAAATCCAGTAAGCTGTCAGCCAGCACATACTAAAACCTAACTTTGAAATGGCAGAATCGAGGACTCAAAACAATTGAATCTAAGATGACATATTCGGTATAGGCAGTTCTACAATAACCATTTGACATACCGTGAATACGTTTTTGAAGTCAATTCCCCTCACAACCCCGAATTCTGAGTCCAGTTTCTGCTTTGGGTACTTTTTAGACCATTTGGTATCCGCATTACTACCTTTGTTAGCAAGTTGCTCATCTTTTACCTCACTCTCATCCCCAGCAATCAGATAGTCGAAAAGCCCAGCATTAAATTCCTGAAAAGAGAACAATACATAGCCAGTTGAGAAACCTCGGAAACTGCAAAAAACAGTAATTAATTCATGTATCAGATATGAAGATCAATAAACCATCCCATGATTCGTCGATTACAAGGGATTTTGGCATAAGTCCAACACAAAACATCTGCCGACAGCACCTACCTCAAGGATATGGAGACGAGAATTTTGCGGCAACTCTGAATTTAAAACAGCAGATTTGATTCCAAACTGCAAATGAAGCTTGTGCATCAGCAACGCAACAGAAATACAAAAGGTGGAGGAGGGGGGGATACACTTCAGAGAGAAAGCGATATGTAATGGATTCCATCATACCATACAAATATTAAGAGTACCTTTTCAAGGAAAAGTTTCAATCTGAAACTCATATCAATAGAATTGGTAAATATAATAACTTTTTTCTGTATGAGCTCCAGCTTCAATAGGGCAAGAATATGAACTAGCTTGTCTTGATCACTGGACGAAATCTGAAAGCAATATGAAGCATATGTCTCAGTAGGAGAAAACTCGAAGCATAACTGACAGTTCACAGAAAAAAGTACACTCAAACATGATTTATCATACATATAGATTTAGGCAGTCCGTTGACATAAAGTTGACCGACATTGTTTAATTGAAAAGAACAATAATTCATTACCCAAAATTGTTGAACATTTTTGGGAATGATTTCATCCTTCACACCATCAACTTCTGGTAAAGTCAAGATATATGGATTGTGTAGGATAAGCTTCTTGAGTTTATCAACATCATCACTGTCAAATAGCAGATAATTATCAACATCATAATGAGATTTAAACATCAATGACCACCAAATTCAACATGTGAGGGATATTCAGTGTACAGAAGTTAGCAAAAGACTGTTCCCCAAGTTTATCCTGGACAGCAGCATTGTACAAACCAGAACAAATCACAGGGTGTTCATCGTCAGCCATGGTAATGGTCAAACAAAAAACATATAAAACAGACCTTGATGTGGCAGACATAAGAAGGCACTGACAACGCCTAGGAAGAAGAGCGGTAAGAGCTTTTAGGTCCTCTTCAAAGCCAAAAGATAATAACAGATCTGCCTGAAGTAATTACAAATCAATGCTTACCAGTAAAAAAGTGGACAAGGATATCTAATGGTACTTCAGTAACCGAAGGAAAAATACCAAAAGTGACAATTATGATCATTAGGAAGTGCTTAGAACTTCTCAAAAGAATAAGCAAAACTCAACCCAAATTCGTTTATCCCCTTTTTACTGAACCACATTTATAGATACAAAAATCACAAAACAATTGCAAATGTCCTTTTACTTTCAGGCCATCAAACAATTTATAGCAAACTAAAATCGAAGCATGGAGAAGACTCACCTCATCCAGAACAAGTATTTCCAGAGAATCGGCAACTGATGTCGATTGAAGTACACCAGTTGACAAGCACTTGGCAACACAAGCAGGAGTTGAGATCAGAATATCAGGAGGTCCAGACAATGCAGCACGCTGCAAGGAATTAAAAGATAAGTAGCTGCACACGCTTAAGCACGGAATAAAAAGTCATGGAACCAACAAAGACAGTCCAAACGAGATATAGTTCTTTCTTTTAAAGTAGCATCAGCTTTCTTACAAACTAGAAAGAGGAGCGGCAACTAACCATATCAGATATAGGCATGTTGCTTCTCAACTGCACAGCCTTCAAATGCACTTTACACAAGTCTATGAGTGAAGATATCTCCTTATAAGCCTATTGATCACAGCAAACTAGTCATCATCCAGTTGGAGGGGGGGAAAACCAAAAAGCAACCAAGCATTTTTAGATCTATGCCTGCTGACACAACTCCCCACTTGGGACAAGAATGAAGGCAGAAGGAGCATTCTTTTGCTTCAATCCAGAATCAGCAAACAGCTTATGAAGCAAGGGCAGTAGGTATGCTAGCGTCTTTCCAGAACCAGTCTTTGCTCGTGCAACCACATCCTTTCCTTCCTACGACCACCAATAACAACAAGTGGGAGAATATCAGAACACCAAAATCAATCCTCTGGTTCAGACCAATGTTACAAAAGAAAATATAGAAATTAAAATCAAACAGTACAGAAACAGCAGTGTCCTTTAACCACAACAAGGTAACAAAACAAAGTAAACTGGCAATGAAAAGTATATTTCAAATGCCGATCAAACAAAGCATTGAATTGACATCCGACTACGAATCTTTTTCGATGGATGTACTTGTAACTGTAGCAGGAAATTAAAGCTGGCCATTATCACTTTCAAAAAAAAGCAAAGCTCATTCTTCTCTTCAAACTAGCTGTTCGAATACAACGATGAATTTTCAGTATTCGTAGGCAATAGTAAGTTTCCAACTTCTTCACTAAGGAGCCCAACTCATCAACTGAGAGCTGAGAAGGCTTTAAACTTTAAAGGTGAATGGCTTGCTTCTCCAAACCAAAGGGCCAAATTAAAGTAGCAAAAACCACTGAACCTTGATGAACCAGAAACCACCCCTAGTCTTAAAGCATGAAGCCAGCAAGAATGGAAGAGAAACTAACCAGTATGAGAGGAATAGCAACGCGTTGAATTGGCGTTGGCTTTGAGACACTAATATCCTTCTTGCTAAGAGCTCGAATCAACCGAGGGTCCAGCCCCAGCTCGTCAAAGCTCTTTTCTTCGTCTTCCACTTCGCTGCTGCCGCCGTCGTCGTTCTCTTCTTCCAGTTCATCTTTCACTTCGTTCTCGTGCTCAGCCTCCTGCGGCGGCTGTACTGTTCGTCGTCCTTCTTCGTCCATAGGTTCCTCTTTGATTTCGATTAATTGTTTCGCTTGTTTTGCAGGTTTATCTTTAGGTTTCCGCATTGCTGGTTCCAGAGAAAATCAAGAGGTTTTGGGGCCTGGGGGTTTTGTTTGGCGGGTTTAGTGTTTGAAGAAACGTTTTAGGGTTTTGACTTTTTGAAGTTTTGAAGTTGACGACTTGACGTTAATTGGTGCAGATGTTTGTCGTGTTAAATGCACATGTTGATTTGACCGGACATATGAAGAAGTCTTATAAATACATTTCATACTCTTCTGTAATCTGTAATCTCCTAGATATAGTGAAACTGATTCTCTTTCGCTTATGGACTAGCCAACACACATCGTGTTAGTAAACCACGTAAATCGTGTGTCTGTGTTTTTCGATTCTCACTTTCGTATTCTTGCTTTATCGATTCTGGCGATTTCTCGATCCGTAGCAGCGCGTTTATAACAACACCAAATACCATTTGAGTTATAATTTAGTTATATGTTGACCACTGAATTGTTTTTTGTCGCAACTGAAACCAAACCACTTACATCTAACTTTTGATGTACCGTTAGCTTTTCCATCCCAAAACTTAACTAAAACCAAAGCACTTACATCTAACTTTTGATGTACCGTTAGCTTTTCATCCCAAAACTTAACGGTAAGTATGAAATAATAATTTTCCTTGCCATTCAAGTTATCCAACTCAGCCTAAGTTGTTGAGTCTCAATAAACAAAATTTAAATAACAACTAAAAAAGATAACTCATTGCACAAAGAGAAAAAAAATTGTGACTCCGCTATTGTTGATGTCAGTTTATCGTCTTTGCTCTCTTTCAATCCAATTTTGATATAGCTATGCTTCACTGTACAAATTCTAACTCGTCTCTCGCTGCAATCACTTCATGCCTAGCATCGGAGAAGTTGTCTCCTCCAATTTCTTTTGCTTTATTGTACAAACTCGTATACGAAGCCTACATGTTAGGAACATGTGGAATCATCCCCAACTTAAGCTATCTATTCTAATGCATAGCAAGAAAAATAATTTTTCAACCTATGTGAGTTTGACATTCGTTGTGAGTCCGTGCAGATCATTCACAAACTCTCTGTTGCCCCCAATAAGTCATCCAAGACATCTACTCCAATCAAAGCCACATCTTCAATTTAAAAATTCATCCCCCTCCGCCATTGCAGATGACCCTAACTTCGACTTCTACTATTGTTAGTCCGTCGAATCGAACACCCTTCATGTCCACGTCTACTTCTATGGTTGCAACACTTTCTCGTTCCACATCTCTGATCGAGCATCTGAGATTCACGTTGTAGTTCGTTGGCCGGTGAAAATAGAAATAACTAAGCGTTTTCTTATGATGTTTCCACCTATCGAGGATTTTTATTAGAACAAACAATCATGAAGTTTATGGGTGTTGCTATTCGATATATGTTTATACTTAGCGGAACAAGAGACTTTGGCAATGACCATTTATTCTGCAATGAGTTGCATCCTTTCTTCTAGTCTCCAAGTTCAGATATTTTCAAATGGGTATGATATTCAATATTTTCACCTCTAGTTTAGGAATGGAGCAAAACGAAAGAATTTGCATTTTTTTACTTGTTTATTTAGTTTGACCCTTGATAAAAGTGGGTCAAAGTATTTATTCAGACACATGACTCAACAACTCAGCCTGAGTTGGATTGCCCTCGTGGCTTGAAAAATTACCAGTTCATACTGTCGTTAAGTTTTGGGAAAACCGGATTTAACAGCATTTAACATCATGTGGAAAAAATCCAAAACTACCACTGTTAAAAAAAAAATTACAAAAATACCACCCACTCCAAAGAATTTCCAAAAATACCACCCTTTATTTAAAACCGCTCATTTAATGAGCGGTTTCATATAAAACCGCTAATCCAGGCGGCGGTTAAAGAGAAAAACGCGCCCCCAAGGCGCGGTTTGAACTTGCAAGGCTGTCAAACCGTGTTGCCACGTGGCGGTGCATCAAACCGCCAATCGGAGAAGCGTTTAGACGGATAAAACGTGTGCCAAGTCAGCAGTCCGTGTCGTTCACAAAAACCGCCTACCCGAGGCGCGGTTTGACCGTTGGGAAAATGAAACCGCGTGTCTGACGCGCGGTTTGACCATCGGGAAACTATAACCGCGTGCTGGGGGCGCGGTTTGTGGTGGCGAGAATTTACTCCACCGACCCTCCCCCACGCGGTTTGAGCAGTATAAACCCCCCCCCCCCCCCCCCCCCCCTTCTTCTTTTTTCTGCACACCATCCACCTCTCTCCCTCTCTCCCTCTAACTTCTCTCTACCCAACCCCTTCCCACCCAACCTTAGAATTAGTTTTTTTGTTGGTTGCGGCTAAGTCCGATCTGCCTCCAAAATACTTTTTCTTTGGTTTTCACTAAAAACCCGTCGAAACTCTGTCCGGATTCCGAGAGAATGGCCGATTTCGCTCAAGAAGAGGGTCTTTTTTATGATGATTATCAAACGGTACGTACTCATTTTTCCCAATTGTTGTTGTTGTTATAATGATTTATTTAATTTATATACTAATGATTTATGTTATTGTTATGCTATCGTAGGTTGGGCCGAATGTTGATATTTTCAATCAACGATATTATGTTGATCAAGGACCGATTGATCCGACAGTTTTATACGATCAAGCAAATCATCGTTCAAGAGATGTTTGGAACGACCACAAGGTACATATTATTTATCATCACTTGTAATTTGTATTTTGTTAAAGTAATTTATTTGTTGTACAATAATTTACTTAATTGTTAATCGTATTGATTATTTTCAATAATTTAAATCGATACAATACAACACTTATTGAGACTCTGTTATAAAGAAATGCATGTCTAAGGAAATGGGGACTTACGCGATCATCATGATCCCCCCATGACCTGGGAAAATCGGGTTCTAAGCGATCCTCGGATCCCCCCTTTTTCTGTCAAAAAGACTGTGTTTCTAAGGAGATGTATACCTCTCCTAAGAGTCTTACGAGTGTACTTGTATTGCTTTAAATTATTGAAAATAATCAATACGATTAACAAAATAATATATTTGATTTTATGTGTACCAAAAATATTTATACTTAAATTTCGAATATTACTTTAGTTATGTTAATATTAATATTTATTAGATAATGTATATTAATATTTGCATCTTTTAATATTATTTATTAATGCTAATATTAATGTTTATTATATAATATATATTTCTCTAAATGAACCTTGATTTAATTAATATTGCATCTTATAATATTATTTAGTTATGTTAAAATTAATATGTCATTAGATAATGTATATTTCTCTAAAACAACCTTCATTTAATTAATATTGCATCTCAGAAAATTATTTTAGTTATGTTAAAATAAATGTTTATTAGATAATGTATATTTAACTAAAACAATCTAGATTTAATTAATATTGCATTGTAGAAAATTATGCAGTTATGTTAAAATAAATGTTTATTAGATAATGTATATTTCTCTAAAACAACCTTGATTTATATATAAATTGTATCTTATAATATATTTATATATGTATAAATCTTCAACTTATAATGAAATTTAAAATTTTTTCTAGGATGCATACCATATAGTCCGCTATAGGGGTACAACGAATGTGCTTGAATGGAACGACGTCATCTTGCCCTTTCTAAAAAGGGCAAGATTGGATTCGATTCGGCATTTCAATGGGATCAAGATCGACCGCCAACTCATCATGGCGATGGTAGAGAGATGGCGAAAGGAGACACACTGCTTCAATTTTCGTGAAGGCGAGTGCACCATCACACTTAAGGACATCGCCATCTTAACCGATCTCCCCATCGATGGTGACGTTGTTTGTGTGGATTCTACGCCACCACCTAAAGTTGTTGCCAATATGAGTGGTTGGCAACATTTTATATGGACGGTCACCGGGTTGTGTCCGCCAGAGAAGGGAGATCACGATGCGGATGGTCATCCACCATTGTCCAAGGGCCAAGTATCCATCACTTGGCTGACAGCGGAGATAAGGCGTAAGCACAACCCTGAGTTCGGAGGCATTCTTCGTTGCAAATTGTTGGCCCTTCGTAAAGCCAGTTAGTGGACCCCATACTGGCACATCTAGCGGGTCCATGTTTTCATCAACATACCAATCTTCACTTTGAATGTGATTGTAGTATGGAATAGGTACACGGTCGTGAGCTACCTCATCACCATCTGCGTCTGAATCTGGACCGGAATCATCAGCACCCTCCAACGGATCGTCGCTGTCTGCACTAACTTCTTCTTCCTCTTCTTCAACCTCAGGGTCACTAACTGGACTTGGATTGACCTCTTCTTCCATCTGACTACCAGCATGAAAGGCACCTTCACCTTCACTAGCTCCGTAATGGTAGTTGTGGTAACTAACACCGCTTTGATAGAAGTTGTAGTCGGGTGGGTACTGGTAGCCTGCTTGTTGGTTGTAATCCGCCTGTTGAGCTTCTTCTTCATATGACGTGAAGGATTGATGACTTTCTCCAGTACCATGATGATACTCTTGCCTCCAGCTCGACTCTTGGAAATCCTGGTGGGGATGATTTTCGTATAATACACTCCCACCGTGGAAACCAGATGTTTGGCCATCTCCAGAATGACCTACACTGCCTTCGACGACCTCGGTGTAAACGAAAATCTCCGCTTGCTTAATTTTATTGGTGGTCAAAAATTGGACCATGGCATCAACGTCCTCCTGAGTGGTAAGGAGGAATTCCTCATGCCACAGCGACCCATCATGTCTGTTTGGATATCGATATACCATTCGATCAACTCTTCTAGTGCCATCCATGCAGGTAATCTGAGTGCACATTTGATGGAGCTCTTCAAGCATCGGTCTCGTACGGACCTTCATTTTTTAAAAATTGCCACCGACGTAACTTACACCCTTTTCGGTCTCTTCCCTGTAACCATTCCACCGCAACCCAAGCGTGAACCTTTGGAATGCCATCTGCAATGAAAAGTAATTAAGTTACTAACATAAAATCAGAAATGACAATGAAAAGTAATTAAGTTACTAACATAAAATCAGAAATGACAATGGAAAGTAATTAAGTTACTAACATAAAATCAAAAAGGACAATGAAAAGTAATTAAGTTACTAACATAAAA